ACTTTATATCATTGTTATTATTAAAATTTTCGTCATAATCAGAATCACTGTCACAATTCATTTTCACTGAGATTAGACGTAGAATGAAATGACATTAGGTTTGTTTAATCGATAACAAAAGCCATCGAAGTTGTAATTACATCATTTTCCGTCTTTTCCGCCCTAGGGCGGGAATGTGCTATTTTGCGTCCGCTAAACATGCACGAGAAACCGAATTTCGCGCCCGGAGGGTCAAAAATGTAAGAACAAACTAGAATCAGTGTGTATATATATCTCTATTGCACGGCCCTAGGGCGGAAAAACTGTATTTCCTGTCCTGTGGCTGTAAAATAAATATATATGTACACACTGATTCTAATTTGTTTTTATATAGGGTAGGGAAACTCTACTTTCGGTCCACTTTATAGGCGCCGAAAATGGTCTTTTTTAGCCATGCGTTATAAAAATGTATACAATTTAAATTTGATCAGGTGTTACGCGAGTTGAACTTCGAGTTTGACAACCTTGAGAGGAGGTCGACGAACGGTAACGGTGCCGACGGTAGCAACGTTCGCTTATGGACGAACCACAGGGTAATGGAATGGCTGCGAGTCGTCGACCTGGCCGAGTACGCACCGAACATGAGAGGCTCCGGGGTCCACGGCGGATTGATGGTATACGAAGGACGGTTCACCTCTGAGCTCCTAGCCACGCTGCTGAGTATCTCGTCTGGTAAAACATTGCTCAGAAGGCACTTGACTACGCATTTCAATCAGATACTGGGAAGGGAAGTCGTGCAGAAGAAGAGGGAAATCGAAGCCACTCTGGGATTTGTCCCATTGACCCTCACCGCGAGATTAAAGGTACGATCTTTCGTATACACGGAAGGTATTTAGATTTAACACAGAATCAGGCAGTCTTATTTAAACTATCTCTCGTTCTGGAAGGTGGCGAAGAAGTCTCAGTTTACGTTGAAGAGGAAGAAGAGTAAGAACGAGGCTGATTATGGGAACCTGGTCTGCCCTTTGGAGGCCAGCCCGCCAGGTACTCCGTTGTCACCAGGTTCTTCGAGCCCAGGCAGCCCTAACTTGTACTTCTCTTCATCTCCATTCTAACAAATAATCGGTATCTCGGTTCGAATTCAACGCGTACGCAAAACTATCTATCGTAAGTCTAACTGGACTAATACCAATCTTACTTCGGACTTTCATTACTATTTCATTACCAATCTCTTCAATTCGGATCAAACACTAATACAATATCATGGTTGTAATGTAATTTATTCACGATTGATTGACTCTACAATTCTGAATAGGTTTTACGTTTTCAGAGACAGAAGACAATAATCAGAGGAAAATTATCGGCTGCATTTGAACAACGAATAGATAAAGAGAAATAATTGTCATATCGAAAGTGAATTGTAAATAACAATACATGACACGAGGTGGGACCATTTTTTACCATTTCAAACGTTCATTCATGATTATAGATAATCAAATTAACAGTAATAAGTAGCAATAGGGACGATATTGTAATGGTTTTATAAAATCTATACAAAATATACATTAAGAACGATACTGTTTGCCAGCTTCCATTTTCAGCCATGATTCAAACGCGTGATTGGCGGCCATCATGCGGACTGTCGGATGCGGTTGGTCAAAACCGTGACGGCCATCTTGCGCACCGCCACGCCCCACGTGAGCGCAGTTGGCCAGCCCGTGACTGCCGTTGTGTGTTCATGCGTAAATAGACCCCGCGCGCAGCCTTCTTGCCTGGCGGCAACATAGAGATAGTATACA